CTGCAAGTCGTACTTGCAACTTCACAAGAGCATTTGGCCATGACATGATTGACTCCAACTCATCCCAATAGCTCTTTAGTTTTTGTGAAATATGTAGGCACCAAAAGTTTCTCCTGCGGTATGCGCCACTGCCCTTTATAGTTCTTATGATCGTGGTGCATTGCCTTCGCCAAACGCGCTTCGAGGTTTGACTAGATTTCTTCTGCGCGCCATCTTCGCATAACGCATGCTACTTTGGATCTCCTTATCCATTGCACTTTTTAACCATCCTTTCACTATAGCATTGCAATGCATCCAGTGATTCAGGCTTGGTGAATCTGTTGTAAGTATAGGAATAGATCCATCCACAAGCCAATCTATTTTTGGCAAACAGAGTATTGCTCATGTCATTCACCCATTCCCATAGTTCCTTTCATGAAGGAGTTCCCCGACATATACTTGTCTTGGATTATCAAACGCATGAATATAGTATGGTGACAACACATCCATACCACCAGTCTCCTTAGAAGCACTCCGCTCATCCTTCGACATTGTGTGGGCTCAGTATCCTAAGCTCTGCTAAATGTAATCAGGATCAATGCTCTGATACCATGAAAGATTTGAAGGGTAATTCAATTGTAATTCATCCTCCTCAACCAGCATATATGCACAAGCAATGTATCTCGCGATTATGGAAATCTCTCCTGCATCAAATAATGATTCTATCTACCCAAGTATCTCTCCTATGATTATGGCATATACATATTTACAAGATTACAACATATCAGATTCAAAAAATGTGAAGCCTGCCTCTAATATTGTAACGTAGTCTTGGTGGGTTCTTCCTATCATCTTCCTGCCTAACTTCGTGGTTTCTTATACTATATAACAATTTGATTTAATTTATCGCATGTAAAGTAGGCCCAACACGGTCTTGTATGTGCTTGATTCCTGCTTTGCTATTGACTTATTTCAAAGAAAATTCTTTCAATTGTGAAATATTACCTTTTTTTGGCCAAAAGTGAAATATTACCTCAGAATTAGATTATACGAACGAAATAAGGTTGGAATGGATGTCATCAAAA